TCTGGGTCACCTTGTACAGAGCCCTCTCGAATTTTTCATAGGTCTGGAGTTCAGCAGAGTCCTCCCAATCGGCCACCGCACTCAGCAAGAGCTTGATGCCTCCATTTGGGTCCGAGAGCTTTTCACCATCTAGGGCTTTGACCTGAGCCCATGCGGTGCCCTTCATCAGAAGTGCCAGTCTGGGAGCTAGCATAGAACGGTCCTTGACGGGGCAGATGGAGTGCAAGAAACGAATCTTGTCGGCATACTCCCTCGGGTCATCAATTGACGGGTCAAAACCCGGAAGAAGACTCCAGATGTGTCCGGCCTTTTCTTCTCCCGAACTTCCTTCCGTTCCGGCCATGGCTCAGTGGTCGAAGGGAAGGTAAAATGTCGTGCAACAAAATTCTGGGATCCAATGCAACCTATCCTAGGTTAATTACTCACTGGAGAACCCCTCCAAAATGCCTACGCCTCCTTGCGGAGGCTCCGCTACCAATGTTAATCTCACCCTGGAGTTGAATGATCCTAACCTTGGGGAAACCCTGTCCTCTTGTCCAAGCGGCCTCGCTCTTTGTCGACGATGTTCGGTCCACCCACCCACCCTTTCGGTAGGTTCGATCAAAAGGTCGTCATGCGAGACATCTGATTGGTAAGCTTGTGAGCTTCACAATATATACATATGTGCTACCTGCCCAAAGATCGGTATACAGATGTGTTTCAAGCAGGACATGTACAAGTTGAAGACCCAAGGAAAAAGCCATATATACATGACAAGAAGTATGAATCAAAATAACATAAAGGAATATTTTTTGTTATTCCTATAGGTGCGAGATCAGGGACTTTGGTATTAAGGAAGGAAAGTAGACCGAGACAAGTGGAAGACAAGCGGCGGCAAGTGTAGAATCACCCAGGGCGTACTATATATCTGCGATACTATCTTCATTGGAATATTGGCCGGCATGGTATGAAATACTATGAATTAAGAAACAAGTAGATAGAAAGGCTTCCGGCAGACAAGGAAGACAAGTGGGAGATAAGATAAGTGCAAAATCATGCGGCCAGGTGTGCTGGAGATAAAGGAGACAAGTGGGAGACAAGTGTAAAATCATGCCGCCAGCGGCCAGAGCGCCCAACATGTGCTGAGAGAGGGAAGTGGGAGACAAGTGTAAAATCATGTGGCCCAGAGCAGTGGGAGACAAGGAAGACAAGTGGGAGACAAGTGCAAAATCATGTGGCCCGGAGCACAGAGAGTGCGTTGGGAGACAAGAGAGACAAGTGTCACTGCAACATCATGCGGCCAAAGCAACCGCAGTGTGGCAGGAACGCAAGCCCGGAGACAAATGTAAAATCATGCGGCCCGGGCATGCAACCCTTTCAAAGGAGTAAGAACCCCTCACAGGTAAACCTGTTTGGGGAATAAGCCCAAAGGCACCGCAGTCGCTTCGGGGGTTGGGTGGGCGCTGCTGCAGGGCACCGCTGCAACGTGTGGCCTCGTGCGCTACGGAGCTTGAGTGTTGTGTTGTGATGACGGGCGCCGGTGCCAGGTGTGCGACTGTGTGCGCTTTGGAGCTTGGGCGCTTGTGCCGGATGTGTGGTGTGCTTTGGAGCTTGCGTGCTTGTGCAGCTGCAGGGTGCTGCTGCCAGATGTGTGTCCGTGTGTGCGTTGAGGCTTGGGCGCTCTTGCCGCTGCAGTGCTGCAGCCAGGTGTTTGGCTGTGTGCGTTGTGGTGTGTGGGTGCTGGTTTCGCTGCAGGGTGCCGCGGGAGAATGTGTGTAAGGGCTCTTCCATGGAAAGGCTGCTATTCGTACACTGGGATGCCAAAGACCTGCAAGCAGCATGCTTTACACCTCCAAACTACTCCCTCGGCTTTGCTCATGCTTTAATTGTTTTCTAGACGCGCAAGTACAGTATTGCGCTTAAGACTTCTACAGTTACATCTGCAGTTTGCAGCCAGCAAGTACATCTGTGGCTTGCAGGTCTACTCTTCTATAGCTGGTCCTCCAGATCTGGCTGCGCTACACTTGTTATTCTAGATGTGCTGCTGCTTGAAATGCGTTCTTGCAGCTGCCAAGGTAGATGCGCAAGCGTTCGATTGCCAAGGTAGCTGCGCGCTAAACTAGCTCATGTAACTTAAGCTGCGGTCTGGCTTCAGCGAGCACCTGCGCTAAATTACATGACCCCTGCGTGCAACAGCAACTATCTATGTTTGCGCCGCGTGCGGGTGACATTGCGGCTCTTTATATCAATTCTTTTCTTAGCTTGCGGCCTGCCGGACAGGGCTTGCACAGCGGGATCCTCCGTGGGAATCGCGCGCGTCGGATGTTGAAACGTGAAGCGACATGCGAAATGCGAATAGGGATATATTGTGACCGTGGTGAGCCCTCTGCGGGGATCATACGTGTCGAGTGGTGAAATGTATACACTGTAATGCGAAGGCTGGCCTGCAAAGTCAGAACAACCCCAAGAAAAACAGGTGTATTGATTCAGTTTGATGTATTTGTGCCCTTTTGTACCTATACTTTTTCTAGGGGAACAAAATGTCGACGGGTTCTATTGTGCCCACCCCGCATGCGCCCTGACACCACGAGAGCGGTGGCAGGAGTGCATGGGGCGCGCTGGCCTTAAGGGCTGCCAGCCATGGTCTACTCACAAAATATCTCAACTTTTTTTTGTAACGCCAGACGTCAATAATATAAGTGTCAATGAAAATGACGAAGCAAAGCAAGAAAAAACACCAGAAATTACAGAAGAGGTGGAACAACGGCCAGAAGAAGTAGAAGTAGTGAAACCAGAAGAACCTAAACAAGAAGTACCTAAACCAGAAGTCATTACGGAGCCATTATAGAACAAATTAAAGCAGATAATTTAAAGAAAACTGGTTACGTGTCCAAAGTGTTGCAAATCCATGCAGGTAAGGACCTATGTATATTGAAATTGTAATTTCAATAAGATTTGCAATGGAGCAATTGCAACCAAGCCAGCAAAACCAAAAGCAACGCTTACACCAAAAGTCGACAGTTCAACCTATTAAAGAAGAAGAAGACGCACCAAGAGAATTACCATCATGGAAGCAAAAACCAACAATGCATCAGGTTCTCAAAGATTCAATTAGACCCATGGCGCCAGTAAAGCCATTGAAGAGTCTTGCACATCACTATCAGATGCTGCAAAATGAGTATACAACGCAAAAGTAGCAGTTTCTGCCAAGGAATGTTCAATAGCAAACTTAAGAAAGATAGGAAATACATCAGGGCCAGAAGGTAAAGATCGGCAAATCCTAAATGGCCAAATTCTAATTCAATTCTAACTGAGTTCAGTTCCAAATCTATGTAGTTCAGTTTTAGCTTAATATAGTTCTATTTCAATTGTCATCTACTAGTACTCAATATAGGGTCTAATTTACTTGGGATTCAACGCCAGTCTACTTCTTATTCAATTTTACTTAAACAGCCGTTTTACGAAATTTCAATGCACTTCAAATTCGACCCTACTTTAATCCTACCCTTTTCCAAGTAGAATTTTTATTCAGTTCTAATTTACTTATAGAATGGGTATTGCTTTAACAACGAAAGCTTTCTAGTTTTTGCAATATAGAAGTATTTGTTTTCTTAAGTTCACACCCCCAGCAGCACCCGCTCTCTAGAATGAACTCTGAATGGAGTTGGAGTTAAATTTGCATTGGAGTAGTAGTAAGTTTGCATTGAGTTGGAGTACATCAGAATTAAACTGAAATAAGAATGGAATGCATTTTTGTAAAGCGAAAAAGTTGCACTATATAAGGTTTAATGTAGAAGGTTTAAATGAAATACATTAAGTCAGAACTTAGTTACAGTTGAACTAGAATAAGAGCAGAATTACATTCGAATTAAACATAGAGCTGAATTAGAACTATATAGAAATAGAACTAAGTTATATTTATATTTGACTTGAATCAGGATTGGAATTAACATAGGTTGAGCCAAAAGTGCATTATCTAAACTAAATTGAGTTACATTATAAATAAACAAGCAGTGAGAAAGTTGATTTAAGTTCAGTTGGGTTCAAACAAGAACTAGGGTAAAGTTAAATTTGAATTTTGTTTGCCTTTTCAGTTCAACTTTGCGTAGGAAAAAACTAATCAGAATCATATTGGAATTGGAATTGAGTTAGACTTGAAATTTACTTGAGGTAGAAAGAAATTAATATATATTAGACTTGAACTAGCTTAGAAAACACTAACATTGAATTAGACCTGTTTAAGTTAGAATTCGATAGGAAATTCATTTCGCATTGTAATGGAGTTAAATTAAAATCAATTTATCTTAGAATTCAGCCTCAAGTCAATTAGAAAAGAAAGAGAGCTGAATTAGAATTCAGTTAAAACCCGAACAGGAATGATACCATGCCGAAGTCTTTTTATTTGGGAACAAGACGGCTGGAACTAATTGCCGGAGTCATGAAGTATAATGCTATTAATCAGGGTTGTTCAACGACCAGACCAAAACCTCGAGAAAACAAAAACTACTAAACAAAAACCAAAAATACCAAAACAAAGAACAAATGAATGGTTCCATAACTAGTCTGATCTTTGGACTAGTTGCCCAATCATTGATTGTTTTTTGTTTTTTGGTTTTACAGTTTGTTTCCTGACGAATTCAGATTGATTTGTGTTTCCAGACAACAGTCATTGTGGAAACAACTTACTTTACATTAAGTATGATGAATCCAGATTATTCTGTGCTTCTAGAATACATGATGTGATGTCATATACATGCATGTAGTCATATGCACCCATTGATCTTGGGGGTGCCATATATATATATATATAGTTTTTACATACACACGTTTGCAAGTATATATATGTATATATGCACAGATAGATCACGTTTCAACATACTCCATCTATTCAAAGATGATCGCATCAAGTTACCCATGGGCACCCCGGCTGGTCATTCCCAGTGGTCTATATCTTCATCTCAAAATGCGTGACACCCGGAGCATCCGTTCTCCTGAATGCCACATACAAGCGCTGTTGCCAGGTCACAACCATTCGGTTTGCAGCATTTTCCCAGATAGCTTATTGCTGGCCGCTCCACTTCTGATGGCCGAAGGCAGGGGGCTGGGGTTCGATCCCGTGAAACAGATGGCACGATCGGACACTCACGAGCGGGAGATTTTGGGTCCATTTTCGTCTTCTGCAAGTCTTTTTTTGTGGTGATCTCAGATGCCAGGTCGCGACGGACTGGGCGTTTTTGTGAAAAGCATCGGATTGTTTAGGGGCCAATTTTGGACTGCTGATTTTGGGTGTCCACTCTTTCATCATCATAGGCAAGAACGCAAAAGAGTCTACCATGTCCCAGCGCATGTTCGGTGGCTTTGATGAGAATGAGAAGTCTAAACCCCCACTCACGATGAGGTATCAGCCAATTCACCACCTCTGAAGTTGACCAGCTATAACAGTTCACCACCGGTTCACCATGTGGCTCCCTGTTCTAGGTGGCACCAGCACTGCCATCGCAGCAGCCAGTGCCTGGGTGGGAGCAGCCGTTTTGCAAGTCAAATCAAATCGTGTCTGATTTGCCTTTGTTATCGTTGTTCGCAAACTTCTTTCACACATGATCAAAACGACTTTCCGCAGCATAGTTTTCATGGAAACCTTGTGGTTTCAACTTGGAAGAACTGGCAGTCGGGCAAGTAAGGGGATCTCTGAGCGTTCAACTGGGGGGTTCTGCCAGGGATGCTGGTTACCTCTCCTTTTGGGTGGGTTTGACCGTGTTCAGGTTCGGTTGCTGGCTTGGGTGGTGTTCTCACCTGAGTTTGGGTTTGGCTGCAGGTTTGGGTTCTGCAAGTGCAAGTGCAGGGAGTTGCTTCCCCAGGTTAGGTTTCGTGTGTGTTCTTAACCAAGAGAAACTGGTTGATTTTGTCTCCAACCCACCTCACCCCGCCAAAACCAGGTGGGGGGGAGACGTTTGTCAGCAGCAGGCTGATGTCTCAGCTGGGCTTGGCTGAGGGTTTCCCACAGGCAGTGAAATCGTTCCACCTCCATCAAGAGCAAAATGAAGGCTGCATAGAGTCCGAGGTCCCAAGGCTTTCACCTTCAGGAGGTCCAGAAGGATTCACTAAACCTGCCTCCTTTAGGAAGTCCACCTGAGTTAAGAGGCTTCTGGGTACGGCTTGTTTCTCGAATCTGCGAACGGGCCACCTTCCTGCGCCCTCAGAGCGCCGAGGCGACGACGCCGCGCGGACGCTGGGCGAGTTGGGGCGACGAGCGCTCGAACTCATCGCTTTGCTGAGGCCCGGAGCGACGAAGAGACGCGCTAGGACGGTGATGAGGATGGCGTTGGATGGCGTAGGCCCAAAGGTTCAGATGGTCCCTCCACAACTGGGTTTGGTGGCGGATGGCGTAGGGCCACTCTCCGCCCAAAAATCTGACACGGGATGTGGCCCAGCCCCAGTGGACCGACGGAGGCAAGCGCTCATCGTGCATGGCAACTCGGTCGTGGGCGCAGCCGTGGCCTATGCCATGGACCTCGTCTACACGGCCTGGGAAGCGAAGAAAGGAAGAAGGAACATGCCTGAGTGTGCAAAGTGGTGTGAAACGCGCTTCTACATGTTCAGAAACCCAGTCTCAATCTCATATTGTTCAGTCTCAACAGTCTTCCTGTTGTGATGGGTGAATTGGAGCCTTGCTTGGCCTTACTTGTCAAAACCATGCAAGGTAACATTTTGAAGCAGTGGCCAGTGTTCGGTTAGGCCGATAAGCACGCTTGGTTTTGATCGGTCGTCATCGTACTAGATTCCTGGTTTCAATGTACTTTGGACTTTTGTGAAGTACATAGGAACCTTCGACTTGAATCCCAAACAGAACCATTATATACACTAAAACCATTCTAAGAATGAAGGGTTCCTCAAACAACTTGGAACCTGATGGTGCTGAACTAATGCTGAAAAAGGCCGAGTGACCTGTGGGTTTCATGGCCGCAGCCAGGCGATGGCGCTTTCACCCAATCATGGTTTTATCTTAGATAGAGCGGATTTCCTGAGGACATCTTCATATCCCTTCATGTTCCCTTCATTTTCACTCCTCTGGCAGGCGCTTTGGAAGCCCGAATTTGGCCTGTCTTGGTCCACTGGAGGAGACAGAGCCCTGCGGAGGGTGTGATGCAAGTCTATAGGTGCTTCAAGGACCTTGGATACAAACAAGGTTTGCGAACAGACATACTATGCATTCATTGAGTGGATTCTTGAGGGATGATCAATCAACCAGGAAATAGCTGGTTGCAGGGGCGGATGGATACCGGTTACTGTATATTTTGGTCTTCAGATGAGGAAACTAGCACGGAACCAATTCGGCCTTGTTTTTTGTGCACAAGCCATGGCGATTCTCAGAGTGAACTGACATGCCATGGCGATCCATGGCGCAACCGTTTCTGAGGAGTCCCCCGGCTCCTCCTGCCTCATTGCTCTGCTGCGGACTTTGTGGGTGCGCAACGCTGGGAAGGCACAGTGCTGGAACCCGACCAACAGCGTGGCTCAAGCTCAACGAGTAATGTGGCATGTGTCTTCCCCTTTTCCCGGCATTTGGCTAGCTATCGAGTTGACTTCTAAGGAAGCCAGACCAGAACACTTGTCTAGCCCATGTTGTTTCATATGGTGGTTGGCCGTTTCAAAGTGGAGCATCGCACATATTTGCAACTATCATATCATTCCTTCAAGAACAATTGGAGAACTGATTGTCCGGAGTAGGTATTGGTAAAGGGGGCAGAGGCATAGGTCCAATCGCAAGCACATGACAACCAATGAAAGCTATTCAACTACCCACAAAAGTCATCGAAATTGCGCTCGATCCAACAAGCAGATATGAATGAGGGCCCTTTCTCGCTCTTTTGAAATGAAAGACTGTCCTCTTCGGGGCACCATGAAACTGCAGGAGTGGTGCGGCCGGCTCGGCCCATGCATTGGCTAGCAGCCCTGGTGGAGTCTTGGGCACAGATTCATCATGGGAGCTTGATTCTTTGCAGAGGAAAGTCGAGAAGGTGAGCTCTTCTTATTTCTTATCAGACGATATGATGCAAGGGAAGATGAGTGGTGAACCACCCAATGTTTAGGGTTGGACACGGAAACAGGAACGCTCACCAAACCAGTGAAACCAATGGATGCAGTTCATCAAGATGTGGACATGCATTTGGCTCTTACCAAGAAACTTCACTATTATATAATACATTATATTATTTGATTAATTCTAGTTGCAGGCCATAGCTTCTAATTAGGTTGGAGGCCATTCTAATTCTATGTTGTACCTTTCACTAGTGCAATCCTCTAGATACCGGTTGAGTCACTCATTTTGTGCCAAGACGTCCGAGACCCTTGCGGACATTGCACGACCCTTGCGTCGCATGGACTTTCAGGAGAAGCTACCCTCGAAGTCCTTCCTGAATGTCGCTGTTCGCGACCGGCGCGGCGGTTAGGGACCCGTGTGATCAGGGGCCCGTGGAGTTTGTTTGCGAGAAAGTTGTTTTGAGACTGTATACATCTGTATACTGTATATTTTTGTATATATACACTCCGTTCTCTCAAAATTGGAGCAAACTGCTCCAAGTTCAAGGCTCCTGATTTTCCGAAAGTTGTTTTCCTTGCAGTGGAATGTCGGTGAATCAAGTTTAAGGCACAACGCACAATCATGGAATCTTACCCTGCCTCCCCCCAATGGTTCAGCAGATGAGAACGAATTCATCTCTTTCAACTTACCAAGTGTCTTTTTTTAGCCTGTACCACCTCAACATGAAAAACATCACCTTGCCCAGAAACGTTGCTCTTCCACATGCATCGTCGCTGCAAGACGGACGGCGGCTAGAAAGAGACGGACCGTCGCGTGCGAGTCGGCGAAACGGCGCGTTCTTCGCTTCGGAGGCGCGGGGAGGAGGATTGTACACTAAAACATGGCGACTTCGGGACCTTTCAGGACCGACACTGGGATCGGGGGGGTGCGATAGTTGAGTGGAGACTTGACCGGCATAGACCCCAAACAGTTTCAAAACGACTTGTTGGGACCAATATTAGTCAAGAACGACTTCTTGGTACGCCCTACCTTCCCCCCAAGAGCAAATAATTGCTGAATCAATGGTTTTTGTCGGCATCGACATCGCTATCGTTCGGCCACAAGAGAAGACAAGAGAAGAGCAGGACAAGAGAGGACAAGAGGAGGACAAGACCCGGCCACAGAGCCCGGCCACAGAGCGCGGCCACAGAGCCCGGCCACAGAGTTCAGGGGCACCGGCAGTCAGTGTGGCCAGCTCTTTTTTCTTATATAGAGCCCCAACAGTAAACTGTTTGGGGAATTTAAGTTAAAAACACATACATACATACATACATACATACATACATACATACATACATACATACATACATACACACGGCTCAAGCGGCTCAAGGACACGGCTCAAGAAAAGGACGCGGCTCAAGCCGCTCTGGTTCAAGGAGGCTCAAGCGGGTCTGACCTTGGCACTACGCGTGACCACCTTCCACGCTCCTGTCACAGAGAAGGGTGCCACGGCAGTGCTCGCTTGGATGATGGAATGGGGCAAACGAACAACCTACCAAGTTTGTGGCCATGCAGGTTGCTGTAACTGGATATGGGACGACCGAGTCCGCGAAGGTTGTGTCTGCAGACAATGTGGCTCCACCTGGACCAAGCCAGCAGCAGGGTATGCGGCCAGGTCCCCTACGCCATGGCTCACTTCGAGATGGAAGAACAACCGCAGTGTGACACCTCCACCGGACTATGGAATGGGACAGGCAACAAGATCCAGAAGCAGACAGGGGACCTTCTCCTTTCCTCATCGGACAGGCTGGATGCAACCCTCCAGCAGAAGCTCACTGAGTTGGGCATAGCTCCACCCACCTCAAAGATGTCTTGCGGGACAACCTGTCTCAACTTCCGGCCCCGGTCAAGGAGCTGGTGGAAAGAATCACACGGCCGCAGCCTCCCACAGTCACAGAGAAGGATGTGGCCATCAAGCTCAAGCAACAAGTCTCCACCTTACGAGACCTTTCACACCGCAAACAGACCTTACAGACCAAGATTGATCCTCCTTGACAAATGAAGAACATCCAGAGCAAGATCGAGCAGGAGCAAACCGAACTCAATAGCACCTCGGCCTACATGTCCTTGGTCAGTAAACAACCTGACCCTGTACAGCCTGTACAGCTGTCTGATGAGATCGATCGCAAGGACCCTGTGCCGGAGGCAGTTGCAGGGTTCATCAGTACCTTGGGAGTCAATTTGACTCAGGAGCAACACGATCAGCTCAAAACCATGCTCAAGCGGCCGCCCTCCTCCACAGAGGAAGATGCTAAACGACGGAAGACAGGGGAAGAGGACAAGGACATGTCGTGTGGGTAACAATGCTACTCCTGGTTTGAAGCAATCTACATCTCCATTCTCTCAAGAAAGAGAACCAGAATTCATTCTCTCAATGATTTTTTTGTTCCTTCAGGCTCAAGCCAGGCGGACGGGCTTCCTCGGGGCGGCTATGGCCCTGTGCGCTCTGGTTTGCAACCGCCAAAGTTCGAAAGCGGAGGACCTCCATCCAAAGGAGGCCACACAGGTCAGGATCCGGGAGGGGCACCGAGTTCTTCTGCCTCAGTGCAAGCTCTACGGAGCCTTGCATCCCACGGGACCCTTTCCCGGAATCCTTGGCCCATTTTTGGCAGCTCTTCATGGAGGTTGATGAGCAGGACACCCAACAAGTCCAACTCACAGCTGGGCAGCAAGGTTTGTTCCAGCTTTGTCAAAGAGACCTTGAAACTTCTTGCAAGCATTTTGTAGAGAGGCCAACTCTTCACACCGGGCAGCAAATGTTAGTTGATCTAAAGCGGATGCACTCACTGCTCTCGAAGCACCTGGGACTACCTGGGGAACTTGAACCATCCTCAGGCAATCTCTACATCATTTGCCAAGGGCTCACCAGCATCCTTCAGAACAGGCAGAATCTTTGTTTTGCCGATGCAGCTCTTCGTTGTTGGAGCTGGACAGGGGCCTTTGCTGAAGAGCTCTTTCTGGCTTGGGGCTCAACGCACTTAGCAGTGAGGCAGTTTCTCTCGAGCACGGAATTGAGGTCATCACAGGTTTGGATGGGGTGTTTGGCGTCAATTCGAACCTGGGCAACAGGACGACGTAGGGCACTTTGCAGGACATGTCTGGCAGTACGTACCATCCAAGCGGAAGGCATCGGTGGGGATCCCATGCATTGCCAGCGAGGCATTCTGCCAGGATGCTCTCAGGCACCAGCTATTTCCAAACTCATCCTCTACAGGCCGCTTCGACAGCTCGTTCAGACACCCTGCAGTGTCCTTGCAGACATGGGTGGATGACGTGGCCTTCCGCGCCCTCAAAGCGGAACTGGAGACCGCTGGACTTCGCATCAACGCGGACAAATCCGGCTTCTTAACCAGCGCCAAAGAAGTCAGCAAGGAGATCAACCAATTGCTCACTCCGGAAGATCCAGCCCACTACGACGTCCTGAGAGAGTTGGGAGTGGATGCAACAGCCACGAGGAGAAGAAGGGTGACGCAAGTCCGCAAACGGAGGCATGCGCGCCGGACTTTGACGTCTCCAAAAAAAAGCAGTGGAAGCGCAGACTGCATCCTGTCCCTGGAGGAATGCTGGCCTGTGCTTCTTCACAAATTAATTGAGCAATTCAAGTGGCAACGCCTCTTGAGATTGACCAGGTATGAGGGTTGCCACGACTTGGAAAGGCCATTGGATTGGACCGTCAGTTGGAAGCTCCAGAAATCCACCAGGGACAAGATTGCCACGGCATTGCGGGCCTTCCACCATGAGGCACACTGCATGGTCAGCAAGGCGAATGCCCACTTTGGGACGAAGACCTCACTTTCGTTCATCTGATCTGGCAATGCAAGTTCTGGCACGGGCGGGTCAAGGACATGCCGGCCCAATGGAAAGACCGCCTAGCACATGGAACTGAACCTGAGCTGTGGAATAGAGGCATGATCCAGTCCATCTCTAGACTGGCATGGGCTCCTTCGTTGGCAAAGGAGGTTGGGCCACTCAAGAGACCAAATCCTTTGGCCATGGACACGCCTACACCATCGCTCTTGCGACCACATGCACGGATGCTCGGCGCAAGCGGTACTGTATTGCCATTGGGGCGCACCATATCCAAAGCAGGGCATTGGTGGCTTCGCTCACCGGTGAGGGTCAGCAAACACAGAGCCCTCTTCTACGCCCTCAAGCACTTGGCTTTACATGTCTCAGAGAAGATACAAGTGGCCATCTATGACCATCAAGTGTGGAAAAACTGGACACCTCATCTTGCTTATGAGAACTACCCGGATCTGTTCCAAGGGCTTGAATGTGAGGACTTTGAATTGCTCAGGCCTCTGCTCTTCTCCCTCAAGAAGCTCAAGGAGAATCCACTCCGAAGCTTTCTCCAGAAAGCTACCTCCCAAATTGCCAAGCAGGCAGCAGCTGCAGAGAGACCCACTGAGATCCTGGACCTCCAAGAACATTGACGAGGATGCGGAAGCAATTCTTCTGGCTGCTGCTGAGCGTATTGAAGGGGTCCTGAAAGACAAGAACCACTACTTCCACAGAGGGGAAGACGTCCAAGGCCACAAGGCGCCGCTCATTCAGCAGAAGAAAGAACTTGTCCAGCACCTTTTGGCCTCCCCTCTACAGAATGGGCATCAATGGGCCCCCTTCCGCACAGGGGTCGCATGCAAAAAGTGCAAACATAAATTTTGACCATCGAATATGCAGCACAGGTCACATCCGTGATCAAGCGCAAGACGCGCATGGAAACCATCCAAGAGATCATCGATGGGCAAGCCACACCGGTTCCTGGGACTCATTTCATTTCCCTGGACCGAGCTTATGTCCGCTGTGGACAATGCAGCAGCTATGTCTTGGCGCGCACCTGTCAAGACAGCTTTGACAAATGGCTGAACGAGAAGTGCTAAGCAGGGCCCTTAGAAGCCTCAGCTTGGCACAGACACCCATCGCACAACATGGAGAGAAAGGGCAACAAGGTGACTTGCGCCAGATGCCACACGAAAGCCAAAGTCACGGACGGCGTGGTCGAGCTGAACACAAGCTTAGAGCCAGGTGCCAACTCCAAGGATCAAAGGATCTGAGGACTTTCTTTGGCTAGGAGAGCACTTCATGGCACAGCAGAAAAGGCGTGCCAAAAACAAAATAGGAAAAGGACACAATTTTACTTTGGGAAGGAGGATCATTTGCGTTCACTTTGGGTGTGCGGACAGCTTGGGTGGGGTGTGCGCAGAGACTTTTGTGAGGTGACGCAACAAAGCCGTTTTGCCAGGATGGTTGCTTGAGAGGTGTTGGTCCCAAGTGCACCTTCGGTGATCAGCTATCAGATGTTCTTGGGTGTGAAGGGGGGAATTGGCTTCTTGATGTACGTATGTTTATATGCTATATGGCCGTAGTCAAATCTGGAGTCACCACCAGTTATAGTGTGTTTGAGTACTCAACTGTTCTGATCGAATTGGAGGAGATGTTCTTTTTGTATTCCTGTTCCGTGTCCAGGCTCCGCTCACCCTGGAAAAAAAACTTCTCGGTTTCGACGAGAACGAAGGTCACCATGCCCGCGGTGATTCGCTGGTCACGTCGCAGCCGTCACCAGGACCCAACTTGTGGATTGGCCCAGCTTCGGTCCTGGGACACTTTAGAGTTGGAGCGTGACGTGGAGCAATGCTTGGGTCAGGCCGGACTGACAGAAGAGGTGGCCAACTGCCGACGACATGAAGCCGCGGCCGTGCACCACTCCTCGGTGTCGTGAGTCGTGAGCCGTGAGAGAGTCGCGCCGACGCCGCGAGGCCAGCTGTGTGGCCGGGGGCCGATTCCGACCCAAAAGAAAGAGCGTGCAAGGCCCGACGTCACCCCGGGAGGGTTGGACCATGTTGGACCCACTGCTGCACATAAACCTCAACAGTTTGACACACCATCATTTTGAAACAAGGCTTCGGGTACCACCACTCCATTCGACAGTTGAAACGTGCTGCTTCCTGGTTGTGGTTGTCATTGTCGCCGTCGTCGTCGTCGTCGTCGTCGTCGTCGTTGTTGTTGGTCCTAACTTCGCGGCGACCGCGCTCGCTTGCCGAAACGGGGGATCGTCTTGAAAGCGCCCTGCCACCCACCCAGCCAGCCAACCAGCCAGCCACACAGGCACACAGTTGGAAGGATCTCTTTGAAGAATCCTTGTTCCTTTTGTGCTATTGTGATTTGCCTGCAGAACCCAGATTTGGGTTTACAGCATACTAGTATACACTGTATAGGCTGATAAGCAAGTCAGTTCGTTTGAAACATTTTCTGGGTCTCAAATTCTTGCATAGCGCATGTTTCTGAAGCATTCTGACATCATATGGCATCGGACACTGCAGTAGCTGGCCTGGTGTGACAGCGTTGACCAACGCACTGACCAGCTTCTTGGCTGTTGATGAACATTGGATTGTTTGACCAGTAGCACATCATGTACGCGTAGCACCCTTATTCTTGTTTGAAGCGTGATCCACTGTTAGGCCCTACATGGTGTCTAGTCGTTGACACTCGGATACTATCTTTCACAGACCCAGCCTTTCGGGTGACTTGCGCGAGGCATCCGGCAGCTAAGCAAAGAGGAGCTGGAGACCTTGCTACAGGAGCGTGCTGTAGATGTTTTGGCTTTCTCGCCCAGCGCAGGCAAGTTGACGGTTGCAGTGCTTGTGGAGCAGTATATATTTGCTTCGCAGGTAGTCAGTGAGTTGTGGGTGGAGTGTGGGGATGGCAGCCCAGGGCCGACCGAAAGCGACTGTGATGCGGGTTTGTCGCATAGTAATGTTGGCTGTTCATCTAGTTCCCTCCCCATATGGACATGACTTTTTTGAACAAGAATCAAACAGTACAGGCCCTAGCAGAAATATAGCACAGTTTCCATAATTTCATGTATTTGTTCCGACTCTCTGCCGACCAAGCCATGCACACCACTTTTTCTTTTTGGATCATTTCTCACAATGAAGTATAGGTTCTGTGGTGCCAAGGAGTCCACCAAGTGACGCTGTCATGGGGGCCTCCTGGTGTCATTTTTGTAATGGGAGAGGCATCCATCTCAATTTATAGGCTGTTCTTAGCGGTCAATGATCTCCATGCTCAGTGCCGAGACCCATGTTTGACCAGGATCTCAAGCTTTGGGTCCAATCTTTTCTCCCTTCAAGCATCCCAGCAAAGATCATCACATTTTAGAGTCAAACAGTTTGGGACTGTTCCAAGGGGCCGTGAAATTCCCAGGGAGTGTGTGATGGGAAGATGTGCCAATCTTTGTCCCTAGCCGAAATGGTTCCTCCCACAGGATGTTCAAGATGGTCCCAAAGTGACGAGAGATACAGTAAACAGTTAGCCGTTTTATTCGTTTAGAGAAGTAACAAGCAACCAAGTGGGACACGCTTGGAGTTGCAACAACGGGATCTATTCGGCTGCCAGGGACATCCAGGGACATGGCATTATTGTTTCACAGAACTTGTCAGGGTGGCAATGCTGTGGGGCTTCCTTGTGCAACAATCTCGCAGGATGCTCTTTTGCAATGCTTGTGCTTGACACCCTTCTAGGACACTCTTGCGGGACACCTTTTCTTGAGTTCTTTTGGAGGCTCTTATGTGACACTCTTGCTTGACACTCTTGCTTAGCTTGACACTCTGTGGGGCTCTTGGTTGCAATGTTTGAGCTAATTTGTGGCAATCTGTCGCGCCAAAGACGACGAAAGAAGGAGGAATGATCTTTCGCGGAAGCTCAACCTGGGGTGGTGTTTCATGGTGCGCACGTGTCCAGAGCCTTGTGCGGGCATTGGTCTTCCGCTGCTGCCATTCACCTAATGCAGATATTTGAAGCCCATGAGCCAACATCCTTGGACCCACGCTGTGGAGAAACCTTGTCCCTTTCTTTCCAGGCACTGTAGTTTTCAACATGTGTGCACTGTTGAACACTCGTTTGTCTGCTGGAGCCTGCCCCAGCAGTGCGACAGTGAAAGCTCTGTTGTCCCTAGTGTTGAACACTTTTTTGTTTCCCCTCACATCCACCGACACAATGGTTTCAACTACCGGATTATGGAGTGACAGAGCAAATCAGGCTGCAGTACACTGCAAGTGTTTCGTGGGCTAGGCGCCTGCATGAAGCTGAAGTAGAATAGAAACTCTGGATGTTGCAGCTGTCCAATGAAACTATCTAGACTCCTGTATGGCCTGTATGGTTGCTATTGATTATTGATATTCTTTGATCAGGTTGACTATTTTCTGGTAGAGTACGGGAACCACAAGCCCGCCGAGGACATGCTTTGCCCAATCATCAACATCCCCGCACCCCTGATACCAATAAACAATGTTTGATCGGGTTCCCCTTTGCATCCCTTTGCCCATGCGCGGTATGTGTGTGTGCAGTTGCCACATTCGAGCGCAGTTGCTGTACATCAGAAGGGGGTTACAATGTTGAAATGAAATTAACTCAGGGTTTCAAGGATTGAGCTGATTTGCCGCACTTCGTCGTGACAAAATGAAGGGGAGGGATGCTTTGTGAGACATTCAGGTTCTTTGCGGACTGTTTCATGGTCACTAAATCCTGCGGCCTGCACGTGTTCGGAGTTCCAGAGCACCCGGTGAACGCGACACCGTGTGGGTGGGGAACTCGCGAAGCAAGCAATGGAATGGGTTGCCAAGCAGAAGGTCCGTGTTTTGCAATTGAAGCCAAAAACTGAACTTTGAGTCTTTAGTTTTTTATATCTATACCTTTGCGCTGTGGCAGGCTTTGCTCTTCGGGCCGTTGGAAAATACTTGCCCTCACCAATATGCGAAAAACTGAGTTGCACTGTTTTGCGAACCACGTTGTGTATGTAATTCCATGTCCGCACAGCCGTGGAGTGATGCCTTCACTGAGGTCCCAAGTCCCAGATTGATTTGACTCTGACCGTCTGATCTGGCCTGGCAGGCAACTGTGCCGAGTTGAGGCGGTTGCTGGACACCACACTGGCCACTGCTAAACCTCGCGTTGTGGTGTTGACCATCAATGCGCTGCCTCTTGGAGCTGGAGTTGTGGCTGACTGTGGGACAAAGGTTCGTTTGTACACGCCGGATCCAGATCATGGGTGATAAATGAAAAAACTCAGATCGTGTGCGCACGCACACGCAGGTTGCTTGTGAAGATGTCATTGCACCAGGTTGAACACATGCAGATGCACAAGACATCCCTGCCCCAACCCCCTACCCTGGTGGTAATGTTTGGGTTCAGACGTTTGATACTATAATGTTTGTTGTATTTGCGCGAATTTTTGGGGCAATCTCCAAGGCCCACCTTGGATTTTCATTCTTAGATGCATGCGTTAGAGACGGGTTATGGCATCCAAATTGGCAGTGAAAATGTGATCAGGGGGGGGTTGTTGACCGAGACTTGAAATGGACAGATTTGCCAAAAAGGGTTGGAGAACGGCTATCATGCCATTTCGTGTCAACAAACTGTACTATCCCGTGCAAACTAAGCAACCTTGAATGTGTGTCAAGCTTTGTTTGTCGGTAATTTTAGTTGATTGGGGATTGACGTGAGGTCCAAACAAACGAATCATTACACGCTATCCATGGCGGGAACAGCGAAGGTTGCGGGTTCCAAGGATCAAAAACAGGCCGCACCGGCTTTAGACCAAAGGACGCGGAGCAATTTGTCAGGGCAACCAAGGCCACGTGGAAGTGTGCGTGTCTTCTTCGGGCCCAAGGCGACCATCAACCAAACCTTCCCATATATTCACATGATAGAACCATAAACACAATAAAACACATATTCCATCCACCAGTTCACACAGCGCGGCTCAGGCTAGCTCCCCCGCGCCGTGCAGCGCCGGACTTTGTGCGTGCGAGGAAAACGGGTGAGAGGCCATGGCGAGGGTCGGGGTGCAGAGAGCTGGAAGAAACACGCCGTGGTCACGCTAGATCTGAGAAAAGGGCTGCCGTTCGCGTCCGAGACATCCTTGTTCTCATGGAAGGTCCTTCATCGTTGTTCTCACGGCCTGTGCCAAAACGCTCCCCCCCCGCGTCAGGTTCGGGGTGCCCTACACCAGCTGCTCCTTGCAGTCGGCCATTGACTTCCTGGCTCCAAGGTGTGTGAAAAGCGCAGCGTCTCGCGTGGTTCGCTCTTGCAGGGTTTAGACTGCAGGTCTGTTTGGGAGAAAAGTGGAGAAGAGTTCGTCAGTGAGCTTTTGCTCCTAGTAGGAAGAATGCTCCTAGTAGCGATGCCAGGAGCCCCTAGTTGCTCCTACGTAGTAGAGATGCCCTTTGCTCCTTCTGTCTCAAACGTCATGGAGATCCTTGAGAGACTGGAGGCCTCGACATGGAGGGCCTCGTTGCGAGAGAAAGCCCGGCAACTGTAGTGGACACCCTTGCTATCTTCAGGGATCTTCAGGGTCGATTTCTGCAGCGCCCGTTAACTCACGTACTGCCAGCATTGCAGACAGACAAGGTAGGGACCTTCAAGACGGACGTGCGCGTGCTCGAGCATCATCAACAAGATGGGAACATCTGGAGAATCAGGACAGATTCTCGATTCCAACAGATCAAGACTCACTCCAGGTGCAAACCACTCCTAAGCGAAAAATGTCATCAAATCCATTCAAATCCGCCGAAAGCCTCAATTTTGGGACAACCAATCGACCTCCTCTATGACAGGCCAGTGGCTTTAGCTAGCAGCTAGAACCACCTTCGCGCATGGTCTCAGACATGGAGTAAAGTCAAAAATGTGTGTGTGTATCCAAATATATATATATATATATTTTGTATACAAATATATATATATATAATATGTCATGCCTCCAATTAACAGCACCTTTGTCAAAGCACTGTGTCGCGGCTCATTCTGATTACTCTTTTGTGCATATTTTTGGCTGAGTCAGCATGATCAGACGAGTTCACTTGACCTTTCCCTCTGGAGCCGAAGGCCAACTTGTTTTGCATGGTGTGCCTGCCTTTGTCAGGTGCAATGGTCTGTCAGAATGATTTGATCACCTTGTTACTGACAAAGTCATGTTTGTTAAGAAGCAACATTGTTTTGTTCAGTTAAGAATAGTTTCACACTTGCAACATCTTGCAACAATGGTTTTCCCCGGTCTCACCATCCTGTGAGATTGTGCCCTTGTGTTACGAGTTAATGCCGGTTGGGCGGTGACCGGAGCAGTAAGTGATCGTCTCCAGCGTTGGTTTTGAATGGGAAACCGCTTGTGACCTTTTCATGTGCCCTGATCCCTGTCACTACTTTGTGTAGTATACACACCCCACGCAAGAGCTTGCTACGCCACGCCCAGCGATACTCGTATCATCTCGTATCGCACGATACGTGTGGAGTCGTGTGGAGCTTGGATTGGCTGAGAGGTTTCGTCCGCTCTTCCTGGACACCCTCCGGGCCGTCTTCTTGCGCGAGGACCAACGAGGACCAGCCTTCGGCGAGGCGTTCCAACCGGGCGTCCGACCTGGTCTTCGCAGCGTTTTAGATGGAAAACCATGGTCAAGCAGGAGAGTGTGATTGTTCTACCCGATTGCTGCCGGTTTGGTCGGTGTAGGATCCAAAAGGATGGCCTGACAGGGAACATGGCAAGAAAACAAAGACCACCAATTGAGTGGCTGGGCCATCCAAAAGTTCTCCCATTGCCACCTGCGCTTCGGAGGCGCCAAGCGTTGACGTGCTTTGGCGCAGAGGTGCCGGTTGCACGCTGCCACTGATTGACCTGCTCCCGGACGGAGGCCGGCTGGTGGTGGCTTTGGGCGAATCCGGCAGTGGATTGCTGGTGTGATGGTTTCCGTTGGGCGCCCAACACATGTTGCGATGATCAAAGGACATCACAGATGACATGGTTCCGCTCTTGCATCATTTCATTTGGTGGTTTGTTGAGATTGGGAAAAATCCGTGAGCCACGATGAACCTGCATGCTTGGTGGCTGCTGTTGGAGAATGGAACTTTAGGGTTCATCATCTCGACCCTTCAAATTTGAGTTTGCAAGTGCCCACAACGCAGGCTGACGCAACAAAGTTCACGGAGGTCCATAACAAAATCATGGCAACATTATGTCATATATTGGTAGTCAGTGAGGACAACTGCTTCGGTGGTGCCACAACTGATTTTGTGGATCAATGGACTGAGAACAGAGGCAGGCAGGGACAGGGAGAGTCATGTTAAGCACGTGTTCTTCATGTTTTACACCAAGTTTGGTCACATGTTTTGGACTTGTAATTAATAAGGAACACATGTTTTGGTCACCAAGTTGGTTGCCTTATCCTTTGGTGACCCGTGGTTCACCTTCGGGTCCAAAGTTGCTTCGGTTGAATCTCTGCCGCCCGCCCCCGACATCCTCAGGTGAGCGCAATGTGTTGCAAGAGATGTCCAGTCTGGGCGCGCGTGGGGGGAGGGGAGAAAGACCTGATGTATTCTGAAGAATTGTGTCGAGTTCATCATGTGTCTTCATGCTTTGTGCTGACCGAAGCCCACTCATGTATATAAACTTCTACGTAATGAGTGACAAGAGCTGCCAATTGAACGCATTGGATGAGAAGCGGAACGCAGCTGCAAAAGCTTGTGCAGCTTGGAGGTAGTTAGTTAGTTATTTAGTTAGTTAGTTACTTGGTTAGTTCGTTAGTTAGTAAGCAAGTAAGCAAATAAGCAAGCAAGCAAGGAAGGACGCGAGCAGGGAAGAAACCAAGGAAAGAAGGAAGCAAATAAGCAAGCACGCACGCACAGACGCACGCGCACGCACGCACGCACCCACGCTCGCACGCACGCACGCAAGCACGCAAGCGCGCGAGCAAGGAAGCAAGGAAGGAAAGAAGGAAGCCAGGAAGGAAGCAAGGAAGGAAGGATGCAAGGAAGGCACAAAGAGAAGGGAAGAGAAGGGAAGGGAAGGGAACGGAAGGGAAGGGGAAGGAAGGAAGTGTATTTGTATATGTATATATAATTATATATGTATGTATGTATGTAATGTAATGTAATGTAATGTAATGTTATGAGAATCTTACAGCCACAGACTGGGGGTGGACAAAACATTTATTTTTTCATTTCGTTTTCGTTTTCATCATCATTTTTTCATGCCCATTTGTGTCTTTTTTCATGTAAATGTGTGTTTTCGTTTGCATCATCATTTTTTACACGCCCACCCGTGTTGTTTCATGCGTGATTGCGTTTATCGTTTGCGTCCCCTGAAGCGAAGGCTGCCAAGTCACTTACTCCTGAACCCTCTTTGCTACCCTGGTCGGCTAGTCACTTTCTTCTGTTTTGCTTTAGCTGTTGTGAAATGTACTTAAACTGTCGTTCACGCGTTGCCGAAACTATCTGAACTTAAAACAACATGAACAGACCAATTTATATACATGAACACATGAATTAAATTACAATGTTGCCAACGTGTGGCCGAAACTAGCCAAAGCGATCATGAAAGACAAAAGAATGCTGGAGCTCAATTGCAATTGCCTCCCCTGAAGGAAAGCGGCCAAGTGAGCTAGTCCTGAACCCTCTTTGCTGGTGGATCACACATTTCCTTCTATTTTGCTTTAGCTTTTGTGAAATGGACCTGACTATCGTTGATTTGTGGCGCAAACTAGCCAAAACGAAAAAGACATGAAAAAAAACGAAAAATAAATGAAAAGCAAAAACGAAACGAAAAAAATGAAAAAAAATTGGTCGCTCAAAAATTGCAATTTTCCTCGAGTTTTTTTCATTGTTTTTTTCGTTTTTTAGTTTCGGCTAGTTTCGGCCACAAAGCAACGAAAAACGAAACAAAAAAGAACAAAAACTCGAGGAAAATTGCAATTTTTGAGTGAACAAACAATTTCATTTTTTTTTTCGTTTCGTTTGCTTTTCATTTATTTTTCGTTTTTGTTTTCATGTTTTTTTTCGTTTCGTTTTTGCTTTTCATTTGTTTTTCGTTTCTTTTTTCATTTTTTTTTCGTGTGGCATTTTGGTTTTCATTTGCTTCCTCATTTTTTTGTTTGTCATTTTGGTGTTCATTTGGTTCATCATTTATTTTATTTGTGATGTTGGTTTTCATTTGATTAATCATTTTCTTTTCATCTGTCATTTTGGTCTTCATTTGGGTCATAATTGTTTATATTGTTCCTGACAATTTCGTATGTAATTTTAGTTTTCATTCAGGGCTGTCTCTTCACTAACCTGTTTTACTTCCCATCCCTGTATGACAAATTTCTAGGCCACTAGGCCACTAGGCCACTAGGCTCAGGCTTTTGGGGCCCAGTGGTTTAGCTCAGCAGCTTGCAAGTTGCATTCCATGATTTTGATCCTTGGTTTCGATTGCTCGGGAAGGGATGGGTGAGGGAATCCCTTCACGCATCTATATATAGTTTGGGGCGCTGACTGTGACTGAAGTGATTTTGGAAGCCCATGGGAAGTGACAGCAAAGCCAACCAGTTCTGGAAGGATGAACATGACGCAAAAAACATGATAATCCCAAAATAAATGAAAATAAAACAAACATATTTTGTAAAAAAATGATGATCTAAATAAAGATCTAAATGAAAAAACAAAAATCAACTTTCCATTGCCTGGCTGGCAAAGATAGACTTAAATGTAATGTAATGTAATGTAATGTAATGTATGTATTAATGTAATGTACTGTAATGTAATGCAATGTAATGTAATATAATATAATGTATGTATGTATGTATGTATGTATGTATGTATGTATGTATGTATGTGGGTATATATGTACTTGATTGGTAGTTAGTAAGTAGTAGTTAGTATGTGGTGAGTGGGTGGTGATGGTGGTGGGTGGTTGGTGGTGGTTGGTGTTGCTGCTGGCGTTTTTTGGTGGTGGTGGTGGTCGTAATAGCAGTAGTAGTAGTACTACTACTACTACTGTAGTAGTAGTACTACTACTACCACTAATACTACTACCACCACTAATATTACTACTACCACTACTACTACTACTACTACTGCTGCTGCTGCTACTACTTACTATTTACTACTTACTACTTACTACTTACTACTACTTACTACTACTTACTACTACTTACTACTACTTACTACTACTTACTACTACTAACTACTACTAACTACTACTAACTACTACTAACTACT